GGAATGTGGTCAGTCTGCCCTGGTTGGTGTGTCAGACATGCTCCCTAGCACCAAGCTCATTGATGATTATATTAAAAGCTGTGTTCCCAAGGAAGGCTCTGCTCAGCCACCACAAGCTTATTCATTATTTATAAACAATTAAAGGGCATGGTTCAAATGAATGCAAGCATCTGGGAAAGTCATTATTCATGTACAACTCTACTCAAGCATTTGTCATTTCCCTGGTAACTTAACATACTCTCTGTGCCTTGGGACCTCAAATTATATTAAGCAAAGTAGATGCTTAAACTCTTTTATTTAGTGTAATCGTTGGTCTCATTGCACTTGTTCAGATTATTTGGGCTCATTTAAAATTAGCTCTCCTGTCTCCTTGATGCATTAAAATAGGAAGGAGGAAAATTTCTTTTTAGAACCTATTGCATTCCAAGGATGAATGCAAATTATCCTACTATGATTCTTAATGACCCACTATTAACGTAGTAGGAAACCCAGTGCATTAATGCAATGCCACTTTTCACATCATTACTCCTAATGGAACTGTTACCAGGATAATAGCTTGACCTTTAGCTATAGATTCTGATAGCAAAATATATTCTGCTTACTCTATACCTCTATTCACATAGCATATCAGCTGTTTTCACATTAGTGCAATCACATCTTTTGGCCTTGTCCTAAGGTCTCATCTGCGATTGTAATGGAGAGAATAGAATTTCATCTTCAATAGGTAACTTCTAGTTAAAAGTGCCTTTGAAGTTTGGATGTCATCCATGAATCAGAATGTCAATAATGTGCCTGGTGGAAATATTTGTTTCTGTAGGCATTTTTTGAGATGCCTGTGCTGTGCCTTCAAAGGTCTTAGTCACGGGCCCAGGGGACAGAGATTTTTCTAGCATCTTCCTATTGAAAGCAGAAAAGTTGTAACTGGAAAAAGAAAAAATGAGCAGAAGCTGTTGCCTTTTTACGTAAATGATGAGCTCCTGAACTCAAGGTTGGATTGTAAAGTTCTGAACTGCAGCCCGTCAGGGTGTCAGAGAGCATCGTGAGTCTTCCCTATGGTTCTTCTGAACTCCACTCAGGCATTGGCATGGCCCAGGACTGCTTTGGTATTTTAGAACCACAACTTGCTAATGTGTGATAATTTGAGCACAAGCATTTCACAATCTAAGAAAAGAGGTTGCTATGGAAATTAATTGTATACATAGCATTATAAGTGAAAAGATGTTTACCTCATAAGGCAGTCTATTCAGTCATTTTGCAATATGCTTTTTCATATAAATGAATAGAATGCTAAGTACAAATACATTGTTTTTAAAGTTTCATTTATTAAACAGAACTTCAAGCACCTTTTGACAGTTCTTCAGTTAGTAGATGTCATTTGTGAGTATTTGAGTATAGTAAAACCTTTCTTATTTAAATATGTTTGACCAGTTAAGATTTCCTGCTAATTCAGATAGACCATTTTCTAATTATTCTACATCTTTTGAGCTCCTGCTATTTGCTAACATTAGAAATGAGACTAGGAGCTCCATTGATTTGTTTACCACATGCTTCTTAAGCTTCTTTGCTGAAATGGGTATATTGGGGGAGACAAAGAAATGAAGGTGCTGGTGTAGGAAGCTGAAAAGCACATCTGTGCCCAGGAATGCAGCTCGTTTCCTCTGTTTGCTCTCCTACAGAACATACAGTGGGTCATCTGGTTCATACCACCCTACTCCTTGATTCTGAGTCCTAACCATCTCCCTCTCCCACTCATGTAAGGCTGTGACGGACATTTCCATTAATGCTCTTAGGAGATCTGTACATCTCCCTCCAACAACTTGGTGTCATCTGATACGACTCACTCCCCTGCACACATGAAAATCCATCTGATCCCGGGCCACATGGTGTCAGGACCTCAGTAGCTGTGCCTTACACTGACTTGCTTGAAACCATGTCACTCAACATACCTTAGCATCCTTCCACACAGCTCTGTTATTTTCTACTCCAGCATCCCAGACTATTTTAAATGTTTTCTACCACCATCTAACCCCTGCATGCCAACCCATTGTTATCTCCATTTACTGAACTGTGTAGTTTCTCAGAATCTATCCCTCATCCCCTCTCTGGTGTCATTTTCCTAACATCTTCAAGTGCTTTAAGTCCCCATTCTGCTGCTGAAATTGTTCAGCTAATCCTAACCTTAGGCCATTCCTTCTGCCCAATATTCTTTGTAGACTGCTGTACCCCATTCACTGCTTAGAACCTTACTGCTTGTCCTCAGTCTGCTACTTGTCAGCAACAATTCTAAACCTTCCCACACTGTCCATCCCCATGGTGTCTCCACACTAAGCTCATAGTGTCTCTGGAGCCTAGTGCCCCTCCCCCATCTAGAACCTCCTCTTATCAACACAGCCCCTCATCCTCTGGCTTTCCTTCTTGTTTGAAGGTGGCCCCTCTAAAGTCCTATATCCCATGACCCCTAGTTCCTCCAAGATGGCTCCATGAATTGTCCCCTCCTGTTTTCCCATGTCCTATATTTACCTACCATGCTGCCTGCTCGAACAGCCTACAAACACTTCATCCTTTCTTTCCTCTGTCCTCCCCTCTGACCCAGGTGTCTCAAGAGTGTTAGTGGTGGCTATTCCCTCAATGGCTCTCAGGAGATACTTGCTAAGCCACTGTTTCACAAATGCTCTAGAGCCACTTGTCACCCTTGGCTTTGCAGTCATCCTGGCCTTCTTTGTGGGCTCCTCTGCCTCTATTCCTAAGTACTGTGTTCGCCACAATCTGTGCTCAGCCACATGCCCTTTACTCTGTATGTTCTCTCTTAACAGTTTTTCTGTTCATTGTTTTAACTAACACACACACAGTGGGTTCTTCATGTTCAGTTGAGTTCAGCATCCACAGATCTAAACAAGCAGGGATGGAAAATGCCTGGGGGGGGGTAGTCATATATACATACATATATACATATGCACACATTACCTTTGATGCTGAAAGCATAACTCAGTGGTAAAGTACATGCTTTAAATATGTAGACTTTTGCCAGACAGTAGTGGTGCACACCTTTAACTCCAGCACTGGCAGATGGATCTCTGAGTTCAAGGCCACCTGGTCTGCAGAGCAAGTTCCAGCAGTGTAGACTTTTTTCTTGTGATCATCCCCTCAATAACACAACAATACAACTTACTTGGTATCAGCATTGTATTAATCACCATTGAGTTATCTAAGTTTGATTTAAAATCTATGATGATGGCATAGGTAAAGCATCATTTTTAAGATTATCTTTCAGGGTCTTGGAATTGATTCCTACAGACTGAGAGGTAGCAGTGTCCTTGGCTCAGCTGTTTTTCTTACACTGCTCTGTCTAACCTTCTGCTGCCCACATGATGCGGGTGCTCTTCCAATAGTCCACCCAAATCTGTGTTGTTCTGTCTTTACCTCACTTTGCTTTTTGTGGTGACTGTATCATATGTTTTGGCACAGACTGTGTCTCCTGGATACTTGATTTACTGAGACAAGTATTAGCTTCCAAAAGGGACCCCCCACCACCCTGTGGCCTGCAAATCCATCCACAGCAGTTGTCTTTTCCAGCACAATTGGACTGCTTGCATCTGAGTTCACACACAGGGCTTTTCCCCTATTTCCTTAGGACATGATTTTAGAAGTAACACTACTGATCAGGGATCTAACCATTTTATGGATCTCATTATGTTTTATTTTTATTTCCCAAGGAAAAAAATCACGGTTTTATGCTAATAGTAATGTTTGACTGGGCCAGGTCACCACAGTTTTGCTACTATCAAATACAGCCGTTTTGACATTTTTTTTCTAACTTAGGATAGGTATACAATATGTGATTTTCAGTTCTTTGGTTTGCATATTAGTTGAACATTTTCCCTAGTGTTTTATACTTCAAATACACTATTGATCTATGGGACTATTGAGCTTGCTCTTTTATTTGAGTGCACTCTTCAAAGATATTGAACATTCTGAGGCATATATAATGTGGCCAGGTTTTGTAGCTCTTTTAGAATGTTTGTTTTTCATTGAATGGGAATTTCAGTTTTTTTTTTTTTTATATATATAGTTAAATCTGTCAATATTTTCCTGTGTTGTTTCTTTTTGAAAGAGACCTTTTAACGCATTGAAACTAGCAACATTTTTATCTCATGGATTCAGTGTGCTGCAACCACTTACTGACCTCACTGGCAGCTAGGTGAAGAGGGGAGCTGAAAAGTACAGGAACAGAGAGAGGCAGAAATGTTAACTCCACACCTCAAATGTGGGCACACCCTGTATGACTTTTTGGGGATCATTGTCCTGCCTCTCCATTTCTTGCCCTGTGGTTTTTCCATTGTTTCTTAGGATTTCATAGGGCCAGTCTTTACTCATATCTAATGCACTGTGCAGGGTGTTGATTCCTACCTAGATTGACTCTTAGAATTTCAGTAAGATGGACAACAGTATTATTATTTATGTTGAGTGCTGAGCTTTTAAGGATCAGTGTGAGAACATTTCTGTGTAATGTTCATTTCATTTTGAATTGATAACACCTTACAAATTTGCTCAATTCTGTCATGAATGGACCTGGCAGAGCCATATGAAGCATTTTCCTTTCTGCCCATCAGACACATACACATACTCATACACATACACATACAAAAAGAGTAGTTTCCACAGGAGCTGCTTAGGAATTCCAGCCAGTTTCATGTTGAAGCACAAGCCATCATAGGTAGCCAGCACTCAGCTACTTGCCATCTTTGCCAAAAGAGCACAAGTGTCACTGCAGAAGATGTGCCCTGTGGGTCTGACATCCTTAGGCATTCACCTTGGAGCTGAGGGGAGCTTGTGATAGAGCACATGCTTAGCATATTTGTGTTCCTAAGTTAAATTCCCAGCACCGGGAAAGAAACAACAAAAGACATAGACTTGCTTTCTCCTTGGACCATCTTTCTGTTTTGTTCTGCTTCCTTTTGTTGTTGCTAAGGTATTTAGTAACATTTCATGTTTTCTTTCAGTCTTTACAGAAAAGTACTGTACTGCGAACCATGTGGATAAACTTCCTGGCCCGAGAGACTGGGTACAGATTCTACAGGATCAAATTAAACTAGCCAGAAGAAGGTTAAAAAGAGGCTCAGGTATGAATGAATACGCTGTAAAAGAAGTCACTGTGAAAGTGCTTTGTTGAGCTCTCCGCTTTTTAAAGCACAGTGCTTTCTCTCTAGGGCATCGTGGTATCCTTTGTTTCTTGAAGGAGATGTTTTATGTAATGTGCTCTGATTGGTGCTAGTGAATTTTGAAAGTTGTCTTAAGATTGAATAGTAAAAATTATGTAGGCCATTTGCTTTTAATAGTACAAGAGGAAAAGATTGCTAATCTCATCTGTGGTCTAATGTGTTTCTCGGGTAGAATTGAGTCTTCTGTGGTTTGCTTTTATCTGACTATTGATTTCTGTTGTTTATATCTACATGAGTTTTTAAAGGACTAATTGCTTAAAGCTTAAAAGGGGGGAACCAAGCAGGATGGTGCATGTCTTTAATTCCAGAACTTGAGTTAGAGACAGAGATCTCTGTGAGTTTTGAGGCCAGCCTTGCCTACATAGTGAGTTCCAGGACAACATGGTCTACCTAGCCTGTTGCAGGACAACCAGGGCTATGTGGAGAGACCCTGTTTCAAATTAAAAAAAAAAAAAAATTCATCCTGCAGAAACACATCAAGTTGGAAGGAATGTAAGGGGGGTGTGTGTGTGGTATGTGTGTGTATATTTATACACATGGCCATGTTTAAAACTTGAGAGTTGGCAGCTTGGCAGCTATTTTTCTAGGCAAAGTGAATACCAGTTGAATTGTGACTACATAGTTTTGATCATCGAAGTCTCAGTCTTCCAAATTTACCAGTTAGAAATGCCTTTGGGGTCAATTTTCTCCTATCATATAAGAATAGTTATCTCTACCAGATCACAAATCTCTAGATTTTATTTCTAAATTTCATGTAAATTAGTATATCTTTTTAGAAAACAATACGGAGATTCCTCAAAAACAAACAAACAAACAAATAAATAAATAAATAAATAAATAAATAAGGCCTGGAGGAGATGGCTGTGTTGGTAATGTGTTTACCTTGCATGCTCTAGGAGTTATGTTCCCAGAATCCATGTAAGAAAATAAATAGAAAGCATGTCCTTGGGACGAGTGCAGGAACTGGGATTTATAAGTAAAATAAACTTATATTTATATCTCATATATATATATATGTATATATATATACATATATATATATAGTGTTGTAATCTCGGCACTAGATCAGTATGGTGGCTGGGCACAGCCATCTTAGCCTGCTTGACAAGCATGTAAATAACATGTGAATAAAAATACCTGATTTTGTCCTCTGGTGTGCGACACACAAACACACTCACACACACACAAACACAAAGATTTTAATTACCATATGACTCACTAAGCTCATTTCTAGTATTTTAAAGAGACATCTGCATTCCTGTATTCATCAAAGCATTTTCCTAACAGCTTCTAAAATATATAATCAACATTAGCATCTACGTTACTAGACCAATTGATAAAGAAAATATGAATACACACATTCACAAACACACACACACACACACTACACATCTTCTGAAAGAAGGAATTCCCTTGTTTGTATCAACATGGGAGATCATGCTAAGTGTAGTAAACCAGCACAGAAGTGCAAGTATCATGGACTATCTCTGAGGAATCTGAAAGGATAGGCCTCAGAAGCAGAGCATAGAGTGATGCAATCTCCAAGAGCCTGGGGAGATGTTGGGCAAAGGAACAGAATTTCAGTCAGACAAAAGGAGTGAGAGTGATTATGTGACATGACTGACAGGGTTATATATAATATACTTAATTGAATTCATATCATAATGTCATGTAGTATGTGAGTGATACATAGATTAATTCACACATTTAGCCATTCTACATGTGTACAGTTTCAAAACACCACTTTGTATATCATTAATATGCATGAATTTTTATATTAGAAGACAATTTATTAGGCTTGTTTCTATAATATGGTCAAAGTAGTCCTACAGTAGAGAATCTCAGAACCCAATGGTAACTTGGTCCATGGGGCTAGGTGGCCCCTGTAGTCCTACTCTGAACAAAGGCCTGGGGATTCCTGGAGAACATCTAGTCCCCAGTCCACATTGGAATCCGAAAGAAGCTGCTTCGAATGTCAGCAAAAGGAGTCAATACCAGCAGCATCAAGGAAGATGAATTCACCAGTGAGAGTAAAGGCCAAGAGAGTAAAACACTTTCCTCCTGTGTCTTTTATCTGGGCAGCTACTAGAAAGTGCTGCCCACATTCAGAGCAGATCTTCCCACATAATCAAGGTGGTCTCTCATTGGCCATTTCATCCTGACAGTGCCTTCAGATCCTTCCAAAGCAAATCTAGGTTGTGTCACATTGACAACTAAAGCTAACACCATACCCATCTGCTAGTATCTGACTCCCTGCAGAAAGGAACTGCCTTGACCCATGAACTTAGTTTATTTTTTGTTATTATTGTTAAATTTATGCATTATTTCTATTTGTCAAATGAAAATGAAATCCAGGCCACCTTGACATCATGCCTTGGGGAAATCTGTGTGGCTGGAGCATGAGACAATTTGGAAGGTGGACTTTGGAAACTGAAGTACTGGAGTGTGTGGGTTACCACTACACAACGTGCCTCTGAGTATGTGATGCTGGCATAGCAGAATAACAGAGTCTAATTCACTTTAATGGACTGAAGTCTATTGGCTCACAGTTCTGGGGGCTGGAAACCCAAGACTGAGGGCTTTCTTGGTGCATCAGTCCATGGCAGGAAGGCACAGAGAAAGTAAGAGTGAGAGAGAGGAAAGAGAGACAAACTCATCCCTTCCTCAGTGGCAGGATTGTGTGCTGTCAGTTCTCATCAGGCTTCTCCTCCCACACTGTGCATCATTTGGGGGAACACATTCAGACCATAGCCATTTCTAACAGGTGCTTGTTAGTTGAGTTCCTCCCAGTGCAGCCCTGTCCTCCAGCCTTGTGCTCTGCAGCCAAACTGGCCTTCTCCCTGGTACTCAAACCAGCTGCTCCCTACCACATTTCATAAGCACTGCAGGGCTTCCCTTCTGCAGAAACCTTTAGTACAGGCCCCAGTACATTCCCTCTCTCACCTGTAGAGTCCCTTTCCTGTTCGTGATGAACTCTCAAGAGAGCAGGGTCTGCTTCTAAGTCATGTTTGTATCCCAAATGATAGTGTGAGCCAGGCTTGACTCTCAATATTTGAGTGAATCAATGAAACATCAGTAATTACAAAAAAGGAAGACACAGTCATCCACAACGAACACCTTGTTTCTTGAGTCAAAATGTGAAATCTTGAAGAATGCTGCCATTTTTGCACTTAAGGTTCAGACGTTATCCCATTCCCTCTAAACCCATGGGCAATGTGTCTCTGAACTCTGCCCACTGGAAAAAAGTCCTTAGGACTCCTGGTGTCACTTTATGGCCATCCTCTTAGAATCCTAATTTGCTTGATCAGCGCTTTCTGTCATTTGCTTCTCCATTCCAACTGTTGTATTTCCTTCCCAGTCTCGTCTCTTCTCCCATCCTCCCCCAAAGATGCAGTATCTCATAGCCCATGAACTCACCAGCATGGACCACCTGGAAAATATGAGATTAACCTCCTACTATCATGATTTTTCACTCACTTGGGGTCTTCTGCTTCTGCCCTAAATTATATCACAAAAGCCCCCCCATATTACTTTACACCCTTCTTCCATTCCTGGAAGGGATTAAGATAGGAATATAAAGGAAAGAAAAACAAAGGAATGTAGAAACTCACAGTTGAAAGGCCCCTAAGTGGCACATTAAGTTTGCCCAGTATTAATTATGACTGAGCAGTGATGTGTTCACTCAGTTCTATCTATAGGCAGGGCAGGTTTCAAGTCTTAGGCCTGAGTGGCACCTATACCAGTAAATGTAAAGCTGGTTTGTGTTTCCTAGATTCTGCCTTGAACAGCTCAACTGTTGAATACATAAGGACTCCCACCCATATACCTGTTCATTTGAAAGGAGAAATTGTTGACCCAAAATACCAAGACACCAAACATTCTAATTTGAGAGAAACATAAACACATCATGAGGAAGAGATGATCAGCAAGCATCAGCTAGCCAAAGGAAAGACGGAGGACCAGTGACCCACAAGTCTACCCCTTCACTACTCTCACACACTGTTCCCAGATAGGTACTGACTTTGAACCACCCCAGGCAGGCCATCAAATACCTGTGCATGTGGCTGCTCCCTTCCTATCTCCTGAGAACTGGTGGGAACAGACAGGAAGCTGTGAGAATTGTGTCAGCTCCTTGAGATTTTAAGGAAAAGGAAATGTCTGGACCCAGACTAATGATTCTCCTCGTTCTAACACTACAGGGACTGCCTGGTAAAAGACAGGGCTTCTATGTCCCAGGGCCTGCTTCTCTGGAATAAAGAAAGCCCTGTAGGACCTGAGCATTCTAAGTTTTAAGAGAGTCTTTAAAGCTAGGAGTCATAGAGAGCCAGGGTACTGGAGGAGGCTACTCCTGTGGGAAAAACTCAGTTTTACTGGACCACAAGAAGAAAACGCTTTAATTTAAATTCATTCTCCTACTACCTCCTCCATGTTACCTGTGTGGGCTCTCCCCTCTGTGACAGCACATGACAAACCTCAAGGGAGGTTGTGTTTTGGTTCATATTTGAAGAGATGTAGGTTGTCCTGGTGAGGAAGGCGACCCTGATGGCAGGAACATGTAACTGGGACTCCTCGTCTCCTCACATCTCTGTGAAACAGAAAATGGAGATGCTGGGCTGGAACCATGAAGCTCTTAGCCTGGCCTACCACTAGTTACCTGCTTCTGCCAGCCAGGCCTCCTAAATGCTTCTGTCTCCCAAAACAGTACTACCAGCTAAGAACACAGGAGGCCAGTCTGGGGCAGGGGACTGCAGTCCTTAATCATTCTCTTGTCATACGTGATCAGGGTACCCTCAAGGGTCATGGTCTTTCTTGCCTCTCCCCTTTTCACATCAGCACACACATCTGCACACAGAAGGGACATGCCTCTGCATCCCCTGCATCCTTACCCCAAACTATCCAGTGGTTATTTCCTAAGCATAATTTGCATCCTAAATATTCACACACACACACACACACACACACACACACACACACACACACACACACACACACTTCTCCAGAAAGAGACCCAAATGGCTGCATATTCTGTAACCCCCCTGCCCCTTTGCTGTGGAAGCCCTTCACTGCTTAGCTCAGATTGACTTGAGACATCATCAGCATCAGGATGTGGCTTGAGATGTTGGAACTTTTGATCAGCAGGTTTACAAAACACATGCCTACCTGGACATTCATAATGCATCCACTGAGGTGGAAGGTGCCTCTACGAAAGAACCAGCCTAACATACAGGCCATACTAGATCAAAAAGACAGCACCCCAACCATGGCTGATAGTTGGTCTGTGTGTGTGAAACACTGGTACACTTCCTTCTCAATAGTGCAAAGCTGGGACTCCAGCAAACAGAAATAAGAGCCACTTGCCTTTGCTGAGTAAGGTCCAGGTCTATAATGCCACTGACTCTGGGGTCTTTCATCTTGATTATTTTCCATCAAAATGATAATATGGTGTGTTAAAGGTATCCCACAGCTTCCAGGGCCTTGTTTATCATCCTTGGCGCAGTTCCTAGAACTCTGTCCAGATTCTGACTGGACAAAGCTAATCAGCTCAGCACTTGGGGAAGCCTGCACTGACTGTAGGAGAAAGCAGTGCCCCACACGATTGGAAAGGTTGTTATGCAAATCCAAACAAATTCATTTGGGGCTCTCATCACATGTAATAATTTTTTTCTATAACTAGAATTCTGTTCCTGGTATGGATTTTTATCATTTTTATTAGATTACTTCCTCAGAACTGAAATCTCAATTTATTGTTTGTGTTAGATCCAGGACTAAAGCTGTCACTGCTACTAAATTTTTATTGAACTTGCTCAGTCTTTTCCAAATTTTACAACTTGATCATTGCCAGAGAAGAGCGGCTGTGAGCTTGTTGTTACAGATGGGTGTTATAATTAACACCCTAATGTTCTTCACCCATACTTCCCTGTGCATGCAGCCAGCACATACAAATTTATATAGTTTACATGTATTTTATCAGAATATATAACCTAAATATGTGTAAACTATATATGTCCTGTTCTGACAAAAGCACATGATTGTGTAGGCCCACATATAAAAAAGTATGGGTTGGGCTGGAGAGATGTCTCAGAGCTTAAGAGCACTGGCTGATCTTCTAGAGTTCCGGAGTTCAATTCCCAGCAACCACATGATGGTTCACAAAAAATATGGGTAGGAGCTGGAGAGACAGCTCAGCAATTAAGACCATGGCTGTTATTCAGAGGACCTGGGTTCAGTTCCCAGCACCTACATAGTGGCTCACAGCAGGCTATAACTCTAGTTCCAGGAGATCCAGTGTCCTCTTCTGACCTCCACATGCCTCGGGTATTCACGTGGTTCATGGACATACATCCAAGCAAAATACTAATATACATTACATTTTAGAGTGCATTATTTTTAAGTAAAGATAGCTGAGTTACAAAAGGAAGGTCATTTCAGACCCCAAACTAATTTTTGTTAAAACTAAGCAAAAAGCAGATATGTATTAAGGTAGAAGAAATTACTAAAATATAAAATGAACTACAATTTGAAGACTTTAAAAAATTAGCTTATAACTATATGTGATAGATATAGATATAGATATAGATATTACTAATAGTAAGAGATTGAAAGTCCAGACTTGAAGCTCATTCTTATCTTAGGCATTGTCACTTAGTAGCCATAATTTAGTTTCTTCATCTCTGATTCCTAGTGTGTTAAACCAAGCATAGCATCAGACATAGCCCATGAGACTTCCTATCAGTCAGATGACAAATTGCACACAAAGTGCTTAATAAAAAGTATTTAGTAAGTGGTGATGGCCATTTATTATTACTGAAGAATTTTAAATCCTGGTAATAAGACAACTGCGATGTAAACCATCTGCCTTTCAGATTCATTGAAACCTGTCAGAAGGAACTGGTGACTTGTAAATTTAAAAGGTGTACATTCGTTGTTTTTTACAATGTAAAAGGTTTTTCAAAAACAATAAGAACCAAGCTAAGGAACTGGATCAGTTGGTAAAGTATTTGCTGGACAAGCAGGAAAGCTGGGGTTCTGATCTCTAGAACCCTCATAAAGCAGTCAGGTGTGGAGGTATGCATCTATAACCCCAGCACTCAGATGCTGGTAGAGAGGGACAGATCCCAGGCTAGCTAAAACTGCTAGCTGCAGGCACAGTGAGAGAACTTACCCAAAATAATGTAGAGAATGAGAGTAATAGAGGAAGACACCTGACAATGACCTGGGGCCGCCATGTGTGCACACATGGGAGTATGCAAAGGCATGTATGCACATGTGTGCACATACAGGGTCCACCAGAATACCTAACACATTTTATCTAGAAAATTTTAGCATGTCTTACAAGTTGTCTATAAATCACCTTACCCAACTCAGTCCTGCTATTTATCTCTTTGCCATGCTATTAAATATTATCAACATCATTTTTATAGTCACTACTCTAGTCAAAGTTAGCCGTGACTATTCTATCTCTTCTGTTTTCTTTCGGTGATGAATCATGAGGGCCAGCAGACACAGATGCCAGTCCTACCCACCTAAGGACAAGACACTAGAGACTAAACTAGAGGTAGAAAGTTTGGAGCATTTCTGGCTGTCTCTTCTTGGTGGTGTTTAAAGCACCAACAGGGAAAATGAGAACGTAGCATTGCTTTGGCTTCTCCACCATCTCCACACTACAAGGTGGAGCCAAAGGCTGGCCTCAAGGCAACAAGTGTATCAGCAGGAACTTTGGGCTGGGGAAAGGTAATTCCACCAGAATTACCCCAGTAGCCATATGTGGATGTTTCCTCTATCCCTGACATATTAGGGGAGACTCAATCCCTTGAGTTACCAGGAGACTTATGAAACCCTTCCCTTTACATTTAGTAGGGGGGTGTGTGTGTGTGTGTGTGTGTGTGTGTGTGTGTGTCTGAAGGGTCACACTTTGCAAAACCATTAAGGAGACTGAAACACATCAGAAGAGCAAGGCTTGCATTTTAAATCACAAAAGAGGGGAATCTTTTGAAGACATAATATATTTTTTGCTCTGTGGCTTCCTTCATGACTGAATGGATCCAGGAGTTAGACTGACAGCGCCATAACCAGGATCTCCAAAGAAAAGTTCATTGTGCGAATTCCCACTATGGGGTGGGGGCTGAAAAGTACAGTTCTGCAGCTGGAAGGCAGTAACATAGGTGTCTTCAGGGTGTGGTTGAACAGTCTGCCCTGCTGCTGGGTGGAGGTTTAAGTTTAGGAAAATAAGACAAAACGAACTGAAATCACCTGTAGTTGACAAAATAAGGCCAGAGAGTTTTCAAGTTTTAATACAGGAAGCTTGACTTGCTGTCGTGATTATCCAAACGAAATTGTGTTTAAATAATGATGCTCAAACCTGTAATGTGAGCCAAGTGACTTGAACAGGGGGGCCAGGGAGGAGAGATGAAAGCTGCTGCGTACACCCGAGTCACTGTAATTGTGTTCCCGTATTCAGCAAAATGAATGTGCTCCCCGCAACTAATGAGATTTGTGTTTTATGTTTGTAAGCAGCAGAGGTAGCTGACGGGGATGAAAGACTGGACGGCATTTCGCTACCACCAACAGGTAAAACACATTTACATTTCATCACCGCTGTGAGGGAACATTTGCATTGAAAATGCTCTTACCGTTAGGGATGCAGGTGCTTGAGCAAGCTACCTCCATAATAAACCCAGGCCCTCACAATCCCCAGTTTCTAGGGGGCCTAGGCTCAGAGCTGTTTTTGCAGTGGATATGAAAAGCAACACTTTTCTCACACACTATTTCATATTCATAAAAATCTCAGAAATGCAAATCCCAAGAAGCTAGTATTACAACACGGTACTCCACCAAGCCTTGAGACATTAAAAGGCATTTTTAATATAAAGTGACATTTAGCTTTAAACCAGGATTGCCAACTTTATGTGACCAAATTCAGGCCCATTTTGTCTTATTCCACCAAAAGGCCTTTGAGAGGCATGCGTCAGCACTGTTCGCTTAGTAACGCCTGTGTTTTTAAGTGTGACTGAACAAGGCAGCACATCTGGTGTGAACCACACACTCCTGGTATTTGAATTGGGTCTGCAAATGCAACAGAACACTGAAGCGTTCACTGCACAATTGTGTTCAACTGTGGGCTTGATTATGACCTCATTGAAAGACTCTGGGGTGATGCCTCTGACCCTGACCTCTTGCCTGTGTGTGAGTTCACACCCAAGAGGAGAGGACTGAGTGCCTGATCAGTGAGCCATGTGTCGCACAGTTTATCCCCTCACTTGGGCTCATGGCTCCCTGTTGGCTGCCCTTCAAAGATTCTCTGAAGATTCCATGCATAAAATCCAGACAGTCCTAGGAAACCTTGAACTGTGAAAGCTCAATTCAGCTGGGGGGGAGTTGGTTTTGTTTTTTTGTTTTGTTTTAATGTGTTTTTTCCCTAGATCTGAGGCATTGTGACTTGAATTAAATTCAGAAAATATGGAGTATTTGGTATATTTGCAGGAACTCTTGGTAGAGTCCCTAGTGGTCGCATGGTCTTGATAACACAAAGCTTGGAGTGATCACTAAAACTAAGCTCATAGGACACTTAGAGCTGCCAGAAGTTCCAGCCATGCAAATTACACCTTCATTCTCTGCTTGAGTAGCCAGCTAACAGATCAGTGGACAAATAATGAAATGAGCCACAATAGTGCACAAAATATCTGCATATGTCCAGTTCTTATGATCTATAGCTGTTACGTAAAGGGGATTTCTTTCCTTGTTTGTCTGTGTTTCTACACTTGTGAGTCAAGAGAGTTGAATGTGTGATCTCCAGTGTTTGTTACCACCCTCTGAATATCGGGACAATGCACACTGACAGTACTTTTTATCATCTTTGACCCATTCCCAGAAGATATGGGAAATATTAATCATAATGGTGAAAGTATGGTTCAGGGGCCTTGGGGAGAGATGCCATACTTTTCTAGTTGTCCTGGCATCTGCAGCAGCTGTCTTCTGTGTCAGATGACATAGTGGACTTTTGCTTTACTATTTGAAGACTGTGCATCTTGCAAATATACCTTTGCATTTAACTGTCTAAAGATTGAAGCAGAGATATTTCAGAGGAAACGACAGCCCAGGGATGCTAGAGGAATGTCACAGGACTGACAAGCTACAGAGGAATCTGAAAATGAAGGGACCATGGGAGCTCATCTGGACCAATCCCTCCTTTTATCCAGCCTTTTATTTTCCAGCTGGAAAAGCCTGAGGCCCAGAAACATTAGATGACTTTCCCAAGGTGTCATAGCTGGTGATAGTAAGGCCAGACTCAGTCCCCTCAACTCCCAGTCAGTTCAGCATAGGACTCTCTTATACCTAAGCCAAAACCAGCTTTCCGCTGCATTTCTTCAAGATCCCGGGAGACGATAGGCATGCAGTCCCATTAGAGTTCCATTTTTACTGGTGCAGTCTTCACATTTATAATGTTCGGCATCAGTCCACCCAAAATTCACTCCAGTTTAAGCTCAATTCTTTGATTCTTATCTTAAATTCTGCCTGGAGCCTTGAGGTGATAAAGAATAAAGTAGACTATTGACAGATACAGTTACAAACTACTGAACAGCATGGTATATGTTTTTAATATATTTATCATTTTGGAAAAGGGGGAAAAGAGGTCACAAATTGGTTCTCAGATTTTGAGTATCAAACTATGTAATCTTGATAGCACACTTCATGGTTGCCTTCTAAAGTAAAACCCCCAGTCTGGCCAGCTTCTTTGGTTGCCGCAGACCTCCCCTCCACATGCTCACCCCTCCACGGCCACCCAAAGCAATGAACCAACCCCATGTCTTACACATATGGTTGCAATGGCTTAGCCTCACTGAGCAGAATTCAGACCACATCTCCAGCTTCTCATTTATCTGAGCTGACAAAAGTTGATCCCTTGTAAAGCTTCAGTGGTGCTTTTATTACTTTAAAAATCTAAGTTCTGTATCAAGAAGAGAGGAGGGACGATCCCTGTGTTACTGTGAGCCTATAATGGTCAGGGTAGAATTTCATTCAGTAAGATGGCCTGAGTTTTCAGCTACTACAGTTAAGCCTCAGGAAGGGTTTCATGTAGCCCAGGCTGGCCTCTGGCCTTGTGTTCCTAACTTGCCCCTGAGTGCTGGGACCATAGACATGGACCACCACACCCTGCTGAAATGTGTTAACCTATGCAGTGAGCCTTCTGAGCAGCAGTCAGCAGCATCCTAGGGTCTGATGCAAATTCTGCCCTCAGACAAGTGTGGGAGACAGATACAAACTTGCAGACTGTGGCATAGATATGGAGGGAGCATTTGATCAGGAACTGCTCCTAGAATCTGGGAACAGTTGACATTTAAAGAAAAAAATGTGTCAAGTCAAATCAAATAGATCCTTTTCAGTTTGAAAATGGGGCCTCTGGATTTGATGGGGTAATGTTTGTCTAGACTTAGCAATTTACATTATCAGTCAGCATTCTCTTCTGGTTTTTGTGTTTTAGAAAGTGCAAGTCACAACTCGGAGACACTGTTATTGCTGTTTCCCCTATATTCAACTTTTCTCTATTTGGTTTACTTATCTAATGGAAATCAAATACATGGAATTTGTCTCCTGAGTTGTTTGGTTTTCACTTAGGAAGCATTTTTCCCTACTCTAAGTCTGCACATTGCTATTTAATAGTGTTTTCAGGTAAATCATATTTAGTTATTTTCTGTTGCTGGACAATACATCACTAATGGTAATATATATTAATGGACTTTCTTGTTTTTTAAAAAAATCAACAAAGATTCCTAATTCTTGAAATTATTCATCTGGCACAATTAAAGCTTAGTGAATTAACTGGACAGCACAGGTGTGTACTCCACCCCCAAACCTTCAGGTGACTGATTTTTTCCCCCCACATGGCCCTGGACTTGTTAAAAAATGTACAGCTCTACCTTGGAGAAACAGCCTCTCTCATTGTCCTGTTTCTGTTGTAGGTAATATATTTGTCATCAAGAGAGAGACTCCAGAGGACCCAGAACCAGGTTCCATTGCCTAGACTTGCAGTTTAGCGCACCTTTCCATTTCCTCAAAAGTCCACGTAGCAGTTGAGGTTCCTGCAGTGTGGGTGTTCTGTGGTGACTTGTCCTGCCTGAATAATTTCTTTGTAACATGTGGTGTCACGACTCCAATTTGGCATAATCTTTTCTTTTAAAAAAATCATGTTTTAGAGTTGTTACCCTTTAAACATCCAACGTGTGTGACAGGTCATAAAGAAGCAGTTCTCTTCCTGTTTTTACTCATTCATAGTCTGTGTGAATACACAGTCTTTTTAAACGTATTTATTTTAATGTAAATTGCTTAGCTGCATGCAGAGGAAACCTTCTCTTTCCAGGACTGATAGAGGTTGCAAAGTGGCATTAACTAATGCTTCAGCTTGGAGAAGGAAATGTAGTTTTGGGAGATGGCATAGCTCTGACGTGGTCTGTGAAGTCATTTATGACATCAGTCATAGTAACCCAAAACAGTCATTCAGAACTGAAGTACAAATGATGTATGAATTCTTAGGAAATAAAGCACTTTCATGTAATTTATGATGCTGTCATGACAAAAAAGTTAACTCAAAGCAACCAGCCATCTGCTTAGGAGCCATCAAGCATTTGAGCATGGTTTAAACTGAGTGGCTTTGACCCTGTTTTCATGTTCATTCTATAGTTTATCTGGTTCCTCATTCACTTGCCTTCTACCTTATTAAAACTAAAATAAATGTGAGAAAAATCTGGGTTTATTTTAAAGAAATCTCTGCTGTGTGGATATTTGCTTTGCAGAAGTATTTACCTCCTTATCTCCGCATTGTTGCCCTAATGAAATAGTGCACTGAAAATAACACTTATTTAGAAAACCTTGCATTTGCACCTTCTTTGTCATGTAAAGCAAATTGCCCTGAATCTTGGGCACTTGACACAGAAGGCCAAAAACTGCTGCAAAGAAATGTGACTGTCGATCCACGAAACCCCAGGGGTAAAAACTGCCATGACAAAAGCTTAGCCTTTCCCTAGTGTTCATCTCAGCCATAGGTTAGAACCAACAGTTAGTGCTGCTGGGACTGAGTCCCGCCTTCTGTTTTGCCTGAGAGAACTGAGAGTTAGGTAAGTGGTTGCTTAGGGTCGGGTTACCCTTCATAGTCAGCTGGCATAGAACCTGGACATCAGTGTGCTGTGTGACGTCATACTGAACATGTAATACTAAAGGTAGGAGGAGTAGGGTAGCACTCCACTGAGACCAGCTAATCAATGATGATGATAGATGATATCCCTGGAATGTGATAAAGTGTGCTTTTTGGTGCTGCTTGAGGAGTCCATCTAGCAACTAGATAGCAACATCTCATCTGTGTACCTTTTACATCTCTTCCTTTGGAAGCTGCAGGGATGGCTTGGAAATTATTCCCATCATACCTCTCAGTTACTGTTCTCTGTTTCCAGCCAGCCCTAATCCCTATGTTTTATTGAGTGGTCTGATGAGCTGTAGACAAATCAAGATTTTACTTAATTCTGTAACAGATCCTAGAAGAAAAAAAAAAGTCTTCTGCCTCCTAGAATGAAATACTCAAGAGAGTAGAAAAGCTGAGTTCGTGCCCTTCGCTCTATTAAATGATGGTGAATGTGTTTTCAGTACAGGAAGGACATATACTTACAACTGTAGGCCTGTTCAGTATGCACTACAAACCTTCAAAACACTTCCTTCCAAGCCTCAGTGACAGCTTGGAGTCTTCAATACTTGAGGAGGGTAGGATCATCCAGTTCACTGATAAGTGCAATAGAGTCACAAATTGGAAAGGCAGACCAAAACTGCAACAGTAAAATCATATTTTATAAGTTTAAATTGTATTTGTGTTAATTTACTGTGACTACTGTTCAGCTTTGTTCAGAAACCCTTTTTATAGGCTTTCTTAGCAAAAGAAAGAAAAAGAAAAAAAGATCCATGTCTATGGATGTGTCTCAGTCTTCTGTACATATGTTTTATTAATATGTAAATATTCAGATTTTTTAAAAATTACTATGTTCTTTTAAAAAGAATTCAGTGTAAAGCTAGTTGTGAAAATGGTGTGTAACACTGTGTTGTGATATCAACTTCCAAGATGCCCTTTATGTCCATTCTGGAAAAATACAATAAATTACTTTAATTGAATATGCATGTGTCTTGCTTGCAACCTAGTCTTCTGTGTTTATGAAGTCTGTGCTGCTCATTAATTAAAAGGTATTTATGAATGTTCTGATTATTTTTCTCAGGAGTTGTGCCTCTGTGGAAAATTATGTTTACAAATAAAACAAATAGATTTCTAGCAGAGTGAGAGTCTAGTAGATGCTAGAGTCCCAGCTTTGTCTGGCAGTCAGATCAATGGCTACAGCAAGTCCCACAGAAACACTCAGGCGTTAAGTACTGAGATGCTCAAAGCCTAATTTTAAATGAATTAGGTGGCCTTATAATCTTCACTTAAAAGGTTAAGCCCTGCTTCTATGGAAACAACACATCAGAAGGCCAAATCAATCTTTCCCAACATAAAATGGATGCTAAGGCAGACTGAGCTGTTCTCATCTTTCAACACAGAGGGTCGCTGTGCCTCGCTTGTTCCCAAAAATGTACTCAATGCCCTGCTCAGTGCATGTGACACTCCCAGTCTGGAATCTGGCTCCATTGGGGATTTACTTCAGGATTTATTCCAGAATGAGGGTGGTGGGCTTGTGAAGGCAAGGGGTAACTGTTGCTTAAGAACACAACTGGGCCAGAGGAGAGAAAGCAGCAGCATGAGCAGTTTGCAAAGAGAAATCTGCAGTCAACATAAATCTTCACACTTTTTTTTTTTTCCTATTTGAAGCTGGGAGCCTGCCACAAGCCATCCTCTCCTGCCATTGACCCTCTCCTTTGTGGGCTCATATCCATGAAAATGCTTGTTGAAGGATCCATGTGACACTTTAGTGTCCAGGCCACTGGGATGCACTTGCTCCCTTATGCTGTAAGGACCTCTGATGGCCTTTCTCATCGGATGTGAACAAGGGAGTGTCCGCAGTAGGATGACCCACTAGAAGGGGAAGCCCAACAAATGCATCAGTTGCCTCACCCACCCCCATGTCCCAGCCTTTTCAAGTGATTGACTGGTTCTCTGGGCTTATTTCCTGAGTTTAACTCCACCATGTACCCAACACAAATAGGTGAGACCCTGTGATGGCTTCCAGCCAATCAGGTACCAATTGGACAGATACCTTGCACCAAACTGTACCAGGCGCTTTCCCTCTCAAGACATTAAGACGTCAGGTCAGCCACTGGAACAGTTCATATAAAAGGTCATGGTTACTATCTTTCATTGATACATTTGAATGAAGTGGGGGGGGGTCAGTCCACTGTGGGGAGAGCTATGGAGAAATAAAGGAATACAGGCCAAACCCAGCCACATGCAAGCACAAAAGGTTACAAGTGTGGGCTGGAGAATGGAGGGGGTGCTAGCTGGGGTTGAGAATGGAGGGGTGCTAGCTGGGGTTGAGAATGGAGGGGTGCTAGCTGGGGTTGAGAATGGAGGGGTGCTAGCTGGGGTTGGAGAATGGAGGGGTGCTAGCTGGGGTTGAGAATGGAGGGGTGCTAGCTGGGGTTGAGAATGGAGGGGTGCTAGCTGGGGTTGAGAATGGAGGGGTGCTAGCTGGGGTTGGAGAATGGAGGGGTGCTAGCTGGGGTTGAGAATGGAGGTGCTAGCTGGGGTTGAGAATGGAGGGGTGCTAGCTGGGGTTGAGAATGGAGGGGTGCTAGCTGGGGTTGAGAATGGAGGGGTGCTAGCTGGGGTTGAGAATGGAGGGGTGCTAGCTGGGGTTGAGAATGGAGGGGTGCTAGCTGGGGTTGAGAATGGAGGGGTGCTAGCTGAGGTTGGAGAATGGAGGGGTGCTAGCTGGGGTTGGAGAATGGGGGTGCTAGCTGGGGTTGGACAATGTGCTAGTTGGGGTTGGACAATGAAGGGAGGTGCTTGCTGGGGTGTCATTTGTATAGACCACAAGGTAGCAGTGGTTCAGAGAAAGGCAGGTGAGTCTGGTCTAGATACTAACACACTGGTTCATTCTACAGCTATTGACAACATGCTTGAAACTATATCAGGATCATAAACATGAGGGGGAGGATGTCTTCATTTCTCAGAAGAGGGGACAAAAAGATTGTAAGGCACAGGTTGAGGAGGGAGGGTGGGAGCCAAGCTGTCTTTGGACATGACAGGACCTTTGTATGCATGAACTCACAGGAGCTGAAGTTGCCTGTACAAGACCTATACAAAATCAACCAATCAACATCCAGCATAGAGGAGGAGGGATCACAAGTTCCCACCCCTAACCAAGGAGCTATTGATTGGCAGTTGATGTCTTCGAGGGAAATGAAAGTCTGTTTTCTTTCAAGGTGTGGCTCCAGGGAATGGGCTTATACCCATGAGTATATGAGCAGCACAAATGGACTCAGTGGGTTATTAAAAGGGGGGCATGAGGTTGGGAGGGGTGGGAAGGTAGAGACAAATCTGAGCAGGGAGGAGGGTGAATATAGTCAAACAACACTGAAATTCTCAAAGAATTAATAGAAAATCTTTTTTTTTTTTTTTTTTTTTTTTTTTTTAAGATGCCTTCATTCAGTGCCTGTTCAAACTACATGTTACCAAATGGGACATTCCCTGTAGGAGCCGGCTACATTCAAGGCCTGTTTGTCTGTGTTCATAGACAACTTTACCATAAAGGACTGGCTTTACCTTGCAAGCTTTGTCCCAAAGTAGAAGGAATTACAGCCTGTAGCATCATTCATTTTTCTCAGTTCATCTCTTAGCTAATCATTGTCAAGGACTACTCACTAGTAGCCACCAACCAAGCTCCATCTAATCAGATTTTACCCAGGTTGCTTAATACTCTCTGGAATAATTTGTGTGCACTTGGTTATTAATGTTCTGCTGGAATCTGGGCCTCATGATGTCAGGGAGCTCATCTATGAGTCCATTAAGTTTTTGGCCCACTGAAAACGTTTGTAGTCAACTTTCCCAGCAAGAGTGAATTAGCTAAGAACCTTACATACACCCTAGTCATCCTGAAAACAGCAAATTGTGGTCTCCTGGTGTATGACTCATCTTCCCCTTGCTTTGACAAAACACTTGGAATAAATCAACTTAGGGAAGGAAATTTTTATTTTGGCTCACGGTTTCAGACCCTTAACACATTGCTGGCACTTGTGTTGATGCAGAAGATCATGGAAGAGTGTATAGCAGAGCACAGCTGTTTGCCTCATAGTCGCCAGGAAGCAGGGAAAGGGGGAGGGAGGATCTTTAGAAGGCATGCCTTCAGTGACCTCCTTCTTCCTAGGCCCCACCTCTGACTAGGCATCCATCTATAAACATATCAGTGGAGGTACAATCACCTCTCAACAACCCTCTTCTAAAATTTGCCCTAAGGTTAAGCCTAGAGTCTACATTCTAGGTTCTAGATTCTAACACCCCCCCCAAGTACCACCCATTACTCCCCTCTCATCAACCCAAGTGCTGAACTTTTTATCAGAGAACAAGAAGAACCGACCACTGGCAATATTATATTATGCTGGCCCCTGTGCAAGAAGGCCAGGCAGGCAGACACCTAACACTATCTTGTCCATCCTTTTTCATCTTATAGTTTAGATCATGTGGGCTACTCTGTCACCACCTGTTGCTTCCATGAACAGTGGCAAAATTGGGACAATTGGTGGCCAAAGAGACACTGGCCATGTTTGATGAGGATTTCACAACTCACTTTCAACCACAGCTCTGTGTGTACACAGATAAACTTCTGTATTCTGTAACTCAAAGTGCATGAAATTGAGCATCCTCAAGCAGTGATATGTATTACACACACACACATGCATGTGTATATATGTTTAGTACTTATTTTATTACTAGTGAAAATGAACATTCAAATGGTGATAGTTAAAAGGCCAAGGAATGTTCTAGAAACAGAATTCAGATGATATAATACCCAGTACATTTTACATATAACTGATGACCCAAATTAAGTTAATGTTCAAAGATTTTTTTATTGTTTTACTTGATATCATTTAGATCTGTTCATTGAAAAATTAGACATTTTAAATCATCAAATTTGGAGCTAGAAAGATGGCTCAGTGGTTAAGAGCACTGGCTGTTTGTCTAGAGGAGCCATTTCAACTCCTAGCACTCACAGGGTGGCTCAGACCATCTAGAAATCCATTTCCAGGGGATCTAATGACTTATGGCCTCCTCAGGTACCAGGTGTACAAGTAGTACACAGACACACATGCAGGCAAAATACCCATATAGACAGATGGAATTAAATTAAATTCTAAAGCCTAAATTCAAGAATAATATATTTTCCGTCATTCCTTTTAACTACTCCTTCAGAAGTGTAACTGATACTGGTGTGTTGAACAGTTTCTGACCAGCTTTCTTTCTTCCTGTTATGTGAACTCTTCTACTCAATGTTGAGACATATTTAAAAAGGTGGAGAGCCCTTGGTGTGACTATGAAGCAGAAATCAATTTTACAGGGGAAATGGAGCATCCTAAATTGTTACAACTTAGTGACTGGTGCCAATTGCATATTTTGTTAGAAAAACTGCTTTGTGCTATAGTCTACCATGAAAAGGAAAATGATGGGAGATGCCATTATGTATATATGTTTCTCATACTGGTTAATGAATAAAGCATTGTTGGCCAATAGGAAAGGAAGATAGGAGGGACTAGGAGACAAGGAGGAAAGAGGAAGTAGTAAGTAAGGGTCAAGATGGAAAGTCTGGAGAAGGTAGAACCTCCAGCTTAATAATTAAGACAGAGCTAGCCGATAAGAAACTAGTAACAGGCCAACAGAATTATATCAAATACAGAGTCTCTGTGTGTTAATTGGGGCTGGTGCGGTGGCGGGACAAGACCAGTGGCGGGCAGAAAAAACCATACTCCTTACAGGAAAGAGGTTGTTATAATAGAGGGCACTCACATGGTGTCTTACCAAATTACATATCATCCCAAGGCAATGTATTTTTAACTACCTGATGAGGAAAATCAGAAGTAACACAATTAATGAGTGCTGGACTGACCCCTCCCTGCTCTGGTTATGAACATTGTCATGCTGCACCCCCCTAATGGGAAGGTGTTCACCTCATATATCCACAACTACTCAC